CCCTGTAGCTTCGTGTCCACCGTACTCTGAACAGCACCGATTCTCTGCCTCGACAAAATACGCTGGTTCCCCCGTTCGTCCCTGGTATGGAGTATGGGAAAAGGCAGCTACCAGCCCGCCTGGTAAGGAGTGAGGCAGCTGGGTGATGTGCAACCACTTTGGACCACAGTAATCTACTTGAGGAGTAAAACAGCCAATAAAAGAGGAAGGTGGGGAGCTAACTGTGACAGTGCCAGTGATTACTTTTTTCCTCCCTGTGTTGTATTTTACAGGAGAACATAAGATTCCGTGGTTTTTTTCTGGAGAACCTTGGCGAGGTCTTGGGAGGGCTGGAGTGAGACATTGCAGATGGCGATCGGATGAAACTCACTCACTGTGCAGTGCAGAGGAGCAGATAACGTAATGTTTGCTGCCATGTTTGCCCTTCTGTCTGATCTCGGTGTTCCCCGCAGCTTCAGACACCAGCCAGGCCTTGTGCCCACACTTTGGTCACCATTTGCATCGGTAGCAGCTGCTCCTAAGTCCCAATGATGTTTTTGGTTCTTCCACAGTGCATTTGCCTTTAGAAATAAAGACTTAGTGCTGCACATTGTGAATTAAATGGGCTTGTTGGTTTTGTAATGCACTTAGGAGGTCTCTTAACAGGTCACAGCCTTGGAGAAGTGAAGTCAGTATGGTGAGGGGGAGTAACCACCCACCCCCTGCTCCCTAACCTGCTCTGCCCAGGTCGGAGCGGGCCCCAGAGCACATCCTTGCTGCTGTCACATCGGCTCTTGGGCTGGTGGTATAACTGGGTCGGTGCAGACACGGCCCTGCTGCGATCCCACGCCAGCACTGCTGCTGGGAAGAGGGGTTCCTGAAACTGCAAGGTGGCTTAGGAAACCACATCCAGAAAAACAGTGGAAAACGCACATGCTGCCACCTCTCCAGATTAAGCCACCTCACACTGGCTCCTGGCAAATCATCCCAGTGATACAGACCCCAGCCCTGGCAGCATCTGATCAAATCCAGACTAATCTCCCTTATCCCTGGTGTGTTTGTGACCTATTGGGCGTCCCCCAAGTTCAGTTAGCAAAGGAGTGCGAGCAGCTGTGGCCAGAACAATGCTGTCCAGTTGGCAAGGCAGAGGGAGGCCTCATTAGAGCTCATTTGTACTAATTACAGACGATCCTCCGTAAGCTCTCAAGATTTCTTAGCTTAAACTGCGATGCACTTGGGTCAGGTTACCATCGTGAGCTGCAAAAGTGAAGTAAGAGGGATGGTGTGAATCACCAGTGGGCTGAGGAGATGGTGGGGTTGAAATTACACACGCATGGGCTGGGCAGAGCCTGGCTGAAGCCCTGTTGTGCCTCTCGGTGAGCTGAGGAGCATGAAGCTCGCAGTGGGACTTCGCTGCCTTTGTGGGCACAGGGGCCATGCAGCCGGTGACTGGGGCTTCATTACAAACCCAGCATCAAACTGGAATTCAGACGTGAAGGGATTTACTAGCTAACATTTAGGTATGACCAAGATGGGTCCCTCAGCTGAAGGGGCCTTTTTGGTCCCAGATATGTACAAGGGCAGCTGAGAGCTAAACAGAGTGTCACCAGGGGCTTTTGTGGCTGTGCCAAGCTTGGGGTCCCTGTTGAGGGCTGCTGGGGCTCCTGTACATCTCACAGCAAAATATCAGCAACTCTTCCTTGAAAAGAGTTTCCTTGAAGAGGAAGAGTTCCCCTCCTTGAACAGAGGGCAAAACCCTCTCTTTCCCCTCCAGCCAAGGACTCAGCCTTTTTAGAAGGCAAGGCACTGAGCATTGCAATACCTCCTCTGCCTCCTCAGTCAGATCATCTTCTAATAACTAGCCTGGATGATTATTTCCCAAGAATCATCAGCCCCCCATGAAGCAAGAGGGATTAACTGAGCAGCTGCGAGCGAGGAGGGATAGTGGCTGCGCTCATCTGGGTGCAGGAGGAGCACTCGCCCTGGCTCACAGTCTGGCCACGGCCGCTGGCAGAGGATGGCAGACGTGCTGCGATGGCCTGCGTCCACGGTGTCCTACACTGCTGCCCCTGAATCATTACTTGCGGTCACCAACAACTTGATGCCAGCTTGTGGCCCAGATGTCAAAGGCTCTGGATCCTGTTACTAATACACTGAGCCATCAGTACCTTGATGAAGGCTGGATTTACACCAGTAACCTAGAAGCAAAAGGCTCAGGGTTGTCTTCTCAATCCCTTGATCTCTCCCTGTCCCCTGGCAGCTGTGCCAAAATAACTCTCAGTCTTGAATCGATCCTGCCTGGTCTACAGCCCTGCTCATTCACAAGCGGTGTGGGGCATGTGTTTTGGGTATTAGCTGTTTACTGCAGGAAAAAAGGGATCGGGATTTGGGATGTCCAAAAAGAGCAATGGAGACGTGTGGGTCAGAAGCAGACCTCATGGCTAACAAGACATCTAAGAAGTCAGCCACTGCCTGGGCCAGCTCCTGACCCACACAGGGCTATGGGGCTCAGGTGCCCAGAGGGGACCGGCCCTGCCCTGCCCAGTGGAGCTATTTGGAAGCCTCCCTGGTACTGGATTGGAGATGAGAGTGAAAGGATTATCTCTGGGATTAGATTATTTAGATTGGAGCTTTAGTCTCTGACCCTGTCTGCACAAGAAAATAGTAAAACTCCCTGGGATTATTTGGGGTTTGTTGTGCCAGGCTTGCAGCAAGAGCTTCTGCTGGAAGGAAAAAAAAAAGAATGCTTTGGAGACCTGCCCTGTCTGACCTGTTCACTATATCATGATAAGACCTGGCAGAAAAGAGCTACAGATAATTTGGCAGATTCAGCTTTCCTCAAATGTAGCTGTGGCTCCAGGACTGCCTGTGCAATGACACAAAGGTGTCCTGCAGCCACCCTTCCCCTAGCACCCGTGTCCCTGCGTTTCTGGGGAAGACAAACACAGCTCTGCCATGGTACAAACACAGAGACCTGCGCAAGTGAAAATGGCAGTAGTTCACAGAGAACATCCCCAGCCACCATGATGCTGAGCTGTGGATCAGTGCAGTCTCTAGAAATGGGTTTACAGTTTTAAATAAATTAAGACCGTGTCCTGCCATCTGCTGCTGCAGGCAAAGGATGCAGCTGCTCGGTGCAGGACCCGGGAACAAGCAGGCAGAAGCAGCCACCGTGCCTTGCCACTGTCTGTTGGGCTTGTGCATGCTGGCTACTGCACAAGGCATGTGCCCTGAGCCATCACCGGTCCCCATGGGCAGGCACACTCTGCTGCATACAGGCAGGCAGCGTGGCTGCCCTCTTGCTCTGCATACACACGCGCACTCCTTCCTCAGCGGGCTCCACTGTAAGTGAAGTACATTTGTGTACCAGCACTCGCTATGGCAGACACAAGCCTGCCCAGGCCTCTCCCTCCCCAGTAGTATCCTAAGTACATATATAACTTAACAGGTCTGGACTCTGTTCAGTTTATCACCCTCATCTCCTAAGCACTATACAGCTCAGCTGCTGTACCAGTAAATATGGAGATCTGTAAATATCCATTTTCCAATTTCTTGGCTCACACCCACATTTCTAAGACTGGACCAGCTCCATAGATACACACACATAGCTTGCATACACCCACTTGCAAACAAACTCTCCTACTGCTGCACTCCCGGGTACCTATCTGCGCTCCCTGCTTTTATGGGCGCGCACACAAACATTTCCCAGTGCTCATGCCTGTGCAAACACAACTATACACACACAAATATAAGGAGAAACATAGTTTTTCCATTGCTGGGATATCAGCCATCACTGCAGCTATGCTGGTTGGCACAGCAACAGGAAAGGAGAAGAGAAAATCCTCCTTTGGGACATGGATTTGTGGACCCTGAGAATTTGAAAGGGAACCTGGGAAGTGAAAGATTTGAGATGGAGGAAGCAGGAGGGTATTGGTCCCTAACCTCCCAGTTGGAATAAGGGGGCAGCTGAGAGGAAAACAACTCTCAGTCACACTGAGAAACACACAGCAATGATGATGCCCTTTGAATCCAAGCAGAAATTAGTCCTGGCAACTTGTGATTGAGCCTCTGCATAGAGAAAGGGGACAACTGTAGGTCTGGCAGAGTAGGGGAAGGGAGCAGGAGGTGGGGAGCATCTTGGGGAAAGGGGAAGGAGGATGAGCATCTGATGTGTCTGGAAGCAGCTGGTAGGGCCTAGAGGCTGCTGTTGTCACCGCTGCAGACACGTGCAGCATTTCTGAGTGTGAATAAGCTGGAGAGCAGGGCACTGCCCCACAAGGCTCCTGGCCAGTCCCCGGCACCAATGGTGTTACAGCTCAGCCCCCGCAGCATGGCCCCCACTGTGCATACACTCACAGTTGTGATTTAAATGGTCTGAAAAGGAAGGAGGGTGCCTATTGCTACCTATCCCACTCCCACTCACCTCCCCTCTGTGCCCTTTCTCCCATTGCTCCTTGCCAGGATGCCACAGGAGCTCTCATCTGGCACCTTGCAAGCTGGGGGGATGCAGGGGTGGGGACCCGCCACACTGCCCTCACCAAGAAGCACCTCCAGGTCCCTTCACTGTGAGGACAGCAGGAGGGAGGGCAGAGCCTTGCCACAGACTTAGTGGCCAGCAGCAACTCCTCTTCCTGCAGCAAGGACTTGCCTCTGGACCCGGATGCAGATGCTGCAGTGTGCATCTGCCGCAGCTGTTCTCCCCCAGCCCAGCCACCACCTCTCACAGGGACATCCAGGCTCCAGATCGTTTCAGCGTGCATATTTATCGCTTTCCCCCCGCAAGACATGTATTTGAATTTACTCTTGGTAAACATAACCACAGGAGATGTGAATATGTGCTGGGGAAGCATAAATAACTCCACACAGATAGACGCACACACAGACAGCAAACACAGACACGGTTCACCAAGGGAAATCAAGAAGTGCAGAGCACGCCCTGAGGCTGCCACCAGTCCCAATGGCTTTGCTCTCATCCACCAAGCCAAGAGGATTTCTCCTGCTCTTGCTTTGCAGCAGCTGGTGGGAGAATAAAGCTGGGGAGGAGGAGTTTAAAGTTGCAAATATCCCATGAAAGCATCATGGCAAGTCCTGGCTCTGCAGTTATCCTGCAATCATCTCCAAGGAATGGTTCCAGTTGTAGGAAGTTGCAAGTCTTTCACAGTGTGAAAGGGTGGAGGGGCATGGGGACCACCATGAGGGAGGAGCAGCAGGTCATCTTGCAATGTCCCAATTGCAGCCAGCCGATAAACCTTCATGTGGGAACACCGGGGCTAGATGCTCCATCTAGGTCCTCTTCTGCCCTCTCTAAGGTGCTGATTCTTCTTTAGCTGAGAATTATCTTCAACGGGACATCATGCGAACAAACTCTGCAACCAACAAGGAAAGACAGCCCTGAAGCAGAAGGTATCCATGGTCCCCAACCCAGCTCTTATTCCCTGGAGATAGCATGCAACCAGGGTGAAACTGAGAGTCCAAGCACTGCCAGCAGGTCTGTGCCATGACTGGCCCTGGAGAGCTCACACAAAATGAGCTTTCATCCTTGCATTAGATATGGTGATACAATCCCACTAGCAGGTCAATTCATTGCCTCCGACTCCTTCCCAGCCAGTGTGCAGTCTTGTTTGCACAAGCAACTCCTTGTGAGACACTATGATAAGTGTTGTCTCGCTTCACTGAGCCTTGATTTATAGTCTTGGGAACACAGCATGATTTCTTAGTACAATTGCCACTTCACAGAGACACCAGTGTGGGAAAGCACTAGTGTTTTGGTAGATACCAGCATTTTGGTAGAGAAAAGTTTACTTTGATGAACTTCTTGTTTTTAAAGATACAGGTTAACTGTAAAGATGGATACCCTGGATCTATCTCTTCACCACCCTGCAGCTTGTGAAGTCAATTACAATTGTTCAAATTGAGTATAAATGCCATCAAATACAAATGTGTTTTCATTCTGCACTTGAATTGCCAAGGAACTAGTAACTCTGCAAAGAGGAGGGCAGTGGAAATTACCCCCTTGACTTCTCCTTTTCCATTGATGGAGTTGTCCTTTGACAACGAAAGCAGTAACTCACAGGGAAAATGATACTGGGATAGCATTTCATGTATTTTAGCTGTCTAACATAATTTAGCTGTGGGAAACAAGGAGAGCTACTGTCATGTAATCAGCCAGTGCATTAGAACAACTGCAGCTACCAGATACTTTCTAGGCAGACACTTTTAGTTTTTTAGCATTTTCAAAGCCCTCAGAAGCTCCAGTAATCCTGAAGACTGAGACTCCTTGTCATGTAGGAGACCCAGGATTGCCTCTGAGCCAAAAAAAATTACATAAATTTTATTTTAATTCTGTAGTTCCTGTGCTTCACCTTTACTGCAAAGGGACGTCTGGATTTGCACTAGGAAAACAAGCAGCTTGCCATGCTCTCACACCTTCCAGCTCTTATATCTGCTTAGCTGTCTGATATCAACTGCTTCCCTTGCCAGAAACCCTGAGCTCTATTAATATTGCTCCTGCCACAGCTAATGGCTAGGATAGTAGCCTAACCTCTCATTTTTCCAAGTCCTTCTGGCATGAAAAATGGGAGAAGAAATCAATTATCTCTAGGATTTAACATGACACCTCTAGATCAGGTATCTGCAGTCCTAGTGAGCACATCTGGCATGTGACCATCTTCTGGCATAAAGGCACAGAAAGAAATTCTCTATAAACCCAGATAACAAGGTGAGCCAGAAGAAATGCAAGGTGCAATGCACTCTTCAAGCCAATCTAGCCTCCTCACAGCTCTTGCAATAGATTTAACAGAAATCTATTTAACAGAAATAGAAAATGCCCCATAAAAAGAAGGTTGGCATGGCATGTGTGCACCAGAATCTGCTTCTTTGTGACAGGCCATACCTCTGACCACACTAGAGTTATGGAGAGAGACCCAATTGAAACTGAGATGCAGCAAGAGATGATACACAAATGAACACTTCAGCTGAGGATTTTCCTGTGTGGGCCAATATTCTCCATTTTCCTCAGCTGACTAGGAAAAAACCCCCATGTCTTGTTTGTTTTTTTCTCCATACTTCAGACACCTGGGCCCCGAGCATGCAAATCTTCCGTTTCCACCTGCGTCTGAGACCAAGAGAAACTCTCTTTCTCTGAACTGAAACTCTGACTCATACCAGAGCACATGGACAGGGAGCGTTCACTCCTTCTCACCTTCAAAATCAACACGCCCATCTCCATTCAGATCCACGTCCCGGATGATCTCTTCAATATCCCGATGTCCCACCTGCTGCCCTAGAAGCTTCTTCATGGCTTCTCGCAGCTCACTGGTGCTGATCTCCCCATCACCATTGGTGTCAAACTGCAAGTACATGAAAAATACCAGCAGGGGAAATACAGTTAATGGAAATGGATCTTGCTCTGGGCTGGATTTTGTACCGTCCTGCTCCTGAGTGCCCTGTTTTTCCTGCATTCCTTTGGTGTCCCTCCTTTTCCTCCTTTGGGTGCCTTTTGGATCCAGTCTGTCTTTTCTCCTCAGAAACCCCTCATAACTGCTGTGTCTGTACTAGCTTTCCTTTTCCTTGCCTCAAGGGTTCCCTCATCTCAGTGACTTTCTCTGCTCCTCCCTTTTTTCATGCCTGGCTTGGCTCTTTCTCTGTCTTCCACTGTGCTGCTCTCTCCTCCTCTTCCCCAGTGGGTCTTCTCTCTTTCCTGTCTCCTGTTGCTCACTTCTCTGGGGGGCATGTGGTAGGGAGCACTCACCTCTCTGAAGGCATCACGGAGCTCTTTTACACCAATCATGTCTGCAGTTTCTGCTAGCAGCTTTGGTCCCATCAGCTCAACAAAATCTTCAAAATCCACATGGCCACCCACTTGGGACAAGATGAAAGATCATGTGTAAGAACAACTCCATACGTTAGCCAAGCCCAGCATTCACTTTGCTCTTCTGTGTGCCCCAGAGAGGGCTTGGTTCTCCAGTAAGCACAGCACAGAAGGTGCAGGATAGTGGAAGGAAAAGCAGAAGTAGTTTTACACTGTCTTTGTATTTTCCGGATTGCGGGCTAGGTGGAATAAGCCCAAGCTATTCCATCCTAGGCTGCCATGGACTGTCACATCCTTATGGCATCACGTACTAGGTATTAGAGGCTTGATCATTCTAGTGCTTATAGCAAACCTCTGCTGCGCCTCTACCAAAGGGTACGGCAAGGGCACAGCATGATGTTCCTTCATGGCCTGGGCAGCGCCCTGCAGCAGTGGTGGAGTCTTGCTCCATTAGCAGTGGTTAATGTATGTCCAACTGTTTATTCATGGTATTCTTTTTCTTGTTTGTCCCCTCTCTGAAAGCTGGCAGTAACACTCTCAAATTCCTAAGTACTTGTGCGCCAGGGTTATCAGCTGCTTTTTGTGTGTGACTGGTTGTGCATGTCACAACTCTTTTCCTTCCCTTGATCAAGTAACTTGTCCTTTTTAAAGCATCACGTGCCAGAAATAACATGCACTAAATATCCTTTTTCCCACCCGGCTGAGGGTAATACCCTGCACTGCCACAGACAAGAGGTGACAGAAAATGATGGTGAAAGACAAGAGGCACGAACACAGTTACAGTGAATTGGACGCATTTGTCACATTTTTCCATGACTCCAGCAGATGCCCCCATCTGACACTGCCAGTACAGCTTGCTTGCAGCCCATCCCCAGGCACACAGCAGATCCACAAACACCCACCGCAGAGTGAACGGCCCATCCGTCACCCACTCTGACCAAAACATCTCCATCTTCCCAGGCCCTTTCTTCAGTCTGACAGCATCTGACACCAGCTTCAATATGACAACACCCACAATCTGTGCACCGATGTCTATCTGCCCACATCAAGGGCAGTTTCATACCTGACAGCATAAGCATGAAGGACAACCCTTCCACACACTGTTCCCATACACCACAGTCCACACAGTTCCTTCGTCCGATAAGCGAGAAACAAAAGCATTAACTGCTAGGGCCCACAAATGAATAGGAGATGATGGGGAGCAAAAATGAGAACCAAAGAAAGAGGGGAGGAAAAAAAAAAACCAAAGGAAAAGAGATAGCAGGAGACTGACTGAGAGAGCCCGAGGCAGTGATGCAGGGCACAGCAGCAACAGGGAGGTACAGCTAGGTGGATATTACTCACGGTTCATGTTGATCTGCTGGGAGAGCTCTATTAGCTCCATCTCAGTAGGCATGTAGCCCATGGTTCGCATGCAGTTCCCCAGGTCCCTGCAGTTAATAAACCCATCCTTGTCTTTATCAAACTCCTTAAAGGCTTCTCTTAATTCTGTGGGAGTGGATCCAAAAAAGAACAATATTGTCAGTGATAGCTTGAAATACCTTCTTCAAGAAACCTCCCCAGAATCAGCAGCACTTTATGAGGCCAGATTCCCTAAGATACTCCGTATTTTCCCAGCACATCTCCCTGCAAAGAGGCAACAACTGGAGCAACATTAGGCTCTTCTATCAGCAGCACTGCTGACCCATTCCTTACAGAAAAGCTTCCTTGGACTACAAGTGCCATGAACTGATCATTCCTAAACTGCACTCCCTAAAGAAACTGGAAGCAGTAAGTTTTCCCAGCTTTTACCCCTGCACTTTATTACACAGCACTCATTGTAGGGATTAGTAGGCAAAACAGCTTCCCTGGAGCCACACTGCTGTATCATGCTCTACGACACTTTCTGTGGGAGCTGGAGTGGACAGCAGTTCCCTGACAGCTAACATCCCATTACTTTACTTATCCTCCCATCCTGAAGAAGTTGAAGTGGGTGCAAATTCCTTCACAGCCAGCACTCTTGCAGTTTTACATATTATTTCTTTTTTCTGGGGTTGCCAGGAATTATTCCAGTAATCGTCTCCCTTGATTTGCCCCAAATTATTTTACCCCATGGGGGACAACCTGGAAGGGCCAGTCAGTAGGTTTTCACTGAGCAGGGAGAAAGGTGACGCAGAAGGAGCAACAAATTTTACCTTCAATTTCTTCTGGACGCAGTTCTCTATCCTGCAAAAAGAGAACATGCTGTGTTAAAGCTTGCCACAAACACAGTTTCAGAATAGCACTTGTTGGTGCAAACAGTTCTGGGACAAGCCAGAAAGTGAGAGAAGAAACAAGAAGGTGATGACATGTTTAATACCGTCTACCTAGCAAGGCTTCCCAGCGCTCCTCCCCAACGGGGTGGGTGTTAGCCTGCACACTTCCCTATAGAAGCCCTTCTCCATCTCATCTGCTGGACAGGGGGATGACAGTTACTCACCCAAAATAGAAGAGACCCAGGCCAGCACAGCAAAACACGTGGCCTCCCCACCTGATGGTACTATGAGCACTGTCATGAGGCTCCTACATCATTCCCCAGCACCAAGTGCTGAAGCAGAGACTGGCCCTGCAGCAGTTATGATCTCCTCTGAGCACTGATCATATTTCCTACTGCAGCTCCTGCTGACACAGCCAGATCAACGCAGCTGGAAGCAGTCCCTGTAACCAGCAGGTCTGCACCATCGTCTGCTTGGATTGCTGCTTGATCCCTGTCCTTCTGACAGGATGGGGACAGCCACGAGCTCTCTTACAGCCAACGTCCCAGTGCCATCTCCTACAGTCAGTCCCCACAAGAAGGTAGGAACTTCCCCCCTTCCCCCCAGCCTCAACTCCATATACAAGCATTTTGAAACCAGGCATGAAGGCAGACACACAACATATACATCACCAAGGTCATCTACAAACAAAACAGGACAAGGATTCACCATGTTCAGGAAACACTGCAACTTCAAACATCCAATTTGAATTTCTTGGAAGAAGGGGGAGGACATAAAAGAGTATAGGAAAATTCCAACACTGCACCAGGAAGAAGAGATGAGCATGGAAATGCACTGCTTTCTGGTTTAAATGCCCTTTCTAATTCCTCTCATGGCTCCCAGGCAAATCCAAAACATCTGAGAATTTGGAAGCACAGAAACGCGATCTCTTTTGTCGTCTCACTCTCGGCTTTTCCCCTCAACCATGGGGAGTTTCTCCTTGCCTTCCAGGTGTCCTCCCATCTCACCACACATCCCTGGAGATGGTGCCCTTGATCAGATTGAGAAGGATGATCCTTTGCTATTTATCCACAGGGTCCTCTGGAAACTCTAATGGCAGCTGCTCAGAGTGCATAGCAAACTAGGACACACACTGGTTTACGTCTGTGCAAAAGTGGGCTGTGCCAGAGAAACGACCAGCTTGTCACTCATAACCTTCCCAGAGGCATCTCTGTGCTGGATGGAACTGTCGGAGCACGCTGGCTCTGCCATTTCATCCTTCACAGACCTGGTATTTTCAAACATGTCATCCCATTTGTTCTGCTTTCATCAACACCAAGTAATAAAACAATTCAAACTTCTTAGACCGGATGCAGGAGGCATTATTGCCCTCCTGCCTTAGATAAATAGCAGATGAAAACCACCCGTGATCAGTACCAACACCTTGTGTACCCCATTCCAGAGTTCACAAACATTAATCCCTGGAGATACTGCTGTGTGTCGACAGCCAGCTCGGCGCGGCAGCAGATGCAGGGGTATGATTACCACCGCCACGGTGCAAAGGGTGCTGTGACTCACCCGCGGTAACTGCCGTCCTGTGAGAGTGGCTGGGGTAGGACCCAGGCCCTCCTCCAGCACAGTCGTCACAAGACCATCCTCCTCCTCGCTCACTGAAGACCATGTTGCAACCGACATGACTAATACATGCCAGAAATGGGGGCTTCAGCACTGGCTCTAGTTTTGCACACCAAGGCATTTGCGTTTGCAGGGCTCTGAGCATATCTTTGCACATGCAGATTCTACCATCAAAGAGCCACAGACTGCGAATGCAAAAGGAGGGGGAGGGTTTACGTCCCTCCAAAAATCTGACTCAAGTGATAACTAACGTCATGAAGAGGTTTTCTGTTTTAAATTTGAAAGAAGATCCCCTAAAATGATAAAGGAGGAAAATTGCTTGGGAAGAAACAGGCTGAATCACTCTAAAGCTTTTGGAGAACATATGGAAAGAGGAATAAAACTGTTCAGAGAGTTTAGATCCTAGATAGGAGCAGAGGTGACCCACAAAGAGTCCATTATACGTAATGGTCTTACCCTCATTTATTTCTGTTCTATGCACAATAAATCCTGTTGGTCTAGAGAGTCAGTAAAAGTAAAGCTGTTTATCAGATGCATTTATTCTACACCAGGGTAGTTAGAGACATCACTAATCCTATTTTGGAAACTTCTTATGGTACTGTGAATGTCCAGGGCCTACACAGGATGGATGCCTTTCCAGCTGTAAGCCTTCCTCTAGGGAGGTGGACCTATCTCCTATGTTGGGTAGCTCTTGTGCATGTGTGCTTGTGTGAGAATGTAACGGTTTGTGTTTTAGTGAACTGGCCCAAGGAATATGTGATCACTTAGTGGCTGAAGGTTAGGAAGAACAAAAGCTATTTGATCAATAATGACAAATAATGACTTTTTTTTGGGTTTTTGGTTGAAGAAGAGGTTTCAGAGATGAAGATCTAGATGTCTCCTACAGCTGCAGATAATCCTATTAACCTATGAGTAAGACAGAGATTTCTTACAGAGGCAAGAAAGCTCTGACTCTCAGGTAATTGGGGTGAGCTTTGTTTCACCAGAAGAGCATGGAATGCACTGGGTGAATATCTGACAATGCGCATATTCACTCATACGTATGCATAAAAAGTGTGTTAATAATAGGTTTGTGTATGTCCTTAAATTCATGTTATTGTAGGAATCAAGCGTTTATATGCAAAAATATGTTTTACTTCTTGTAAAGACACAATACTGGGGTGCATATTTCCATATATTTAACATGTCCAGGTATATACATTTGAATTTACATACAAACACATATTTTATTTTTTTTTAATATAAATGCATACATTAGGTGCACACGAGCACAGTTACAAATAGCTGTGACTGGGGATGGATGGATGTAGTTTTGCTATTTATCTGTGTGTGTATGGGTAATAGCATTTGGAGGTCTGGCACTATTTGCAAATACGACGACAGACTGCTGTTCTTTGGTTTATTAGGCTGGGATTGCTGCAGTATCGTGTTGTGTATGGTACTGTATAAGGGATTGCGTCTGGGTATCTGTGAGGAGGCAGATGCATGCTTATATCTGCTGGTACTAGTGTGCTCACTGTGAGCTGATAGGAACAGTGTCAAATATGGGCATCTCGGTGGGACAGCTTGTTCCCAATATGGGTGCCCTGATTTGCATTTAAGTGGCTATTTAGGCCTTAAATGCTAACCTGAGCCTCTGGAAATCAGATGTGGATGTCTTGCTGGAATAACAGCTTTGAACACTGGACTCCTCCTGAGTCCATAGGATTATGTAAGTCCTGAAGTCCTAAGTCCTTCTCCTGAGTCCATATGATTATGCCTACTTGAGAGTAGGCTTGGATCAATCTTCCATAGCTGCATTTTTAGAATCCTCCTTTCTTGGTGTTTACGCACGGGGATATCTCTGCACATCCTTCAGGTTAGACATTTGCCTGTGATTGTATTTGCACTTGGAGCTGGAACCAGGATGCTCGAGACCCATGGCTGGGGGTTACAGAGCTCCACACAGACAAAGCATGCAGGCAGCTCTGCATCCCCGGCTCACATCCACGTGGCTTTGTGCGTGTCTCGCCCGGCTGGGTGTAACTTACGTACAGGCTGCCTGTTTTCTGCGAAGCCCTTCCTCAGGAAGATGCATGCTGGCCCCAGCAGGTTGTGCATGACGGCGCAGTTCTGGGCCAGCACCATGAGTGGACCCTGGTACTCGCAAGCCGACGGCCCCTCTTCGCTCGTCTGGACAGCCTTATAGCACGTCTTCTCCTCATGGCGGATCTTCCCAGCCAACCAGCAGCAAGCAAACAACACAACAGAGGATGTTACCTCCCCATCTCGCCCAGCCATTCCTCTGAAGTTTTACTGAACCGCCTCGCAGAGACATTATTGCTAAATTTCCTTCATCTGGTCCGCACTGTGTCCCCCCCACCAGTCTATTAGGATTTGTATAGAAGCAGTAAGTCCAGGAGTTCACTTTCAAAAGCTGATAGAAGTACAACCAGCCAGGAGAATTTGGCTTTGAAACAACATCAAACTCAGCACTGCTCACATCTACCCAGACACAGCCGAAAGGGCCACGCTCCCACTATCAGCCCCAGAGTTAACAATCCCTTGAATGAGCTGCAAAGGACAAGCACATCCCAACCTAACAGTAGGTGTGCCAGCCTGTGCCCAGAGGGAAGCTGCTGGCAGAGCCTCGTCAGCCAGGGCATCCCCAGGAGACCAGGCAGAGCCTGCACAAAGACACTGCGTTAGGCTCTGCGTTACGTTTCAGCAACACAACATCACATGCTTTATAATATTAGAAGGCCGTTTACAGCATCAGGTGACTCTGCCAGCTGCAGGCTCACACTCCCTGTGCCACTTCTAGTTAGTGGTCTAATCAGGGTCTCAGGCAGTTACTGCACTGGCCTCTTCTACCCACTGACAGTCCCAAAGTGGAGGTAAGGCAGGGGCACAACATTTTTGTCTGCTTGCATCTGCACATTTTCCTAAGTGCACACGTCCTGCTAAGCTAGGGCTCCAGAACAGAATCCAGCACTGGATTTTATAAGGAGGCACTGCTTTCCTTTTATAGAAATCCATTTCCCTGGCTCTGCAAAAAAACTCTTATCCTGATATTCCCATGCAGCTATAAAAAGCCAGCACAACCCACAGGACCCTTGGTTTTATAGAATAAACATTAATCATACATCAGATTCCTCTTCAGGAATGATTCTACTTTTACAGCCGGTGCTCCCAGGGGTGATCAGAGAAGCTCTGTCAATTGTCATTGTCTCTATTAACCCTTTCCTTAAAGCCTGAGGTACTTTTTCAGGCCAAAAGTCCAGATACACACGCATGCCCCATTCGCACTTGTCCGAGTCTATTGTATCTACTTGCTGTGTCTGGCATGTGCTATTATATTGCACACATGGTTTGTAGTTTGCATTTTTGTACACAGTCTTACACCAATCTGCTCATGTATAATGTCATGTGAATATCAAGCGTCAAAACAAAAACAACTCAAAAAGCAAGCCACGGAGAAAGAAAATGATGAAGCAGAAAAGCATTTTCATTGCAGTCATGGATGAGGAAGAACTCTGTCTCTGATTAAATCTGACACATAGGACAGTTGTCCTTAAGAACCTGAAAGATGAGCATCCGTCCACAAATGGCATATTACTAGCTCAGCTAAATGTCAAGGCATCTGTGTTGAACTGCACAGCTTCATGACACCAGTGCAATGTATTTTCAAAATTATCAGCTTTACTTCCTGGCACATTTTTCAGTTTAATATACCAAACAATATGAATCACTTAAAATAGCCCACATTGGTGCTGTGTTTAATTCCAGTGAAGCCATGTGAAAGACCGAAAGCCTCACAGCCCCTAATCCTTGTTTGCTGACTCTTCCAGTCAATAGCATTTATTACCAAGCCACAGAGCAGTACCACAGAATGGTCATCCCATTATTTTCCTGTGTGGATAGAGATTGCCAGTTTGATGAAACAGTTGCCAAGAGCCACCAAGGATCCTGACCAGACAATTTGATGCAGTGCCAGGAGAACAAGGTGCACGGCTTAGCAAGACCCCAACAGGGGATCCCTGTCCCACTCTGCGCTGCAGGCAGGATTTATGGCATTCAATGTTCCCTCTGCCAGCAGCCCCCCCAGGTTTCTCCTGCAAGTATCCCCACAAGTTCCCTCCACCACATTCCTCCTACATCCCAGCAGAGCCGGGAAGGGAGCAATGATATGGGTATGGAGCAAAGTGACATCAGCCACCTGTACAGGGGAAAGAGCAGCATGCACAACAAAGAAAATGCAAGGACAGGACTGGGGAGCTCAGGCTTTCCCTGTCCCTTCCCCAAGCAAAGGACCATCACTCTTCCTGGCTGAGTCCGGCCTTTGGCTGTGTCAGCCCAGCACATTGTGGAGAGGGAAGAGACCGGGCTGATTTAGAGACGGCCATAGTGACAGAGAGGGGTGGCAAAGCGAGGGACCTGGATGCCAAA